TTTATTTATTGTTATTTGTTTTTTTTTTTTTTTTTGCAAATTTGTATGCGTAATCTTCAAAGGTTGCGCATACGCTGCGTGTGACGTGATGTGAGGCAAGCGCTGGGAATCGCTTACAGCGGCGTGTTGAAACAGTACCTAACAGTTAGACCTGTTGCCAAGCAAGCGATCCCACTCTCACTCTCTCTCACTCACTCTGTCTTTCATTCGCCATCTCTGTCGCACCGTCCGCTTATCGTTCAACGGGCGTCATTTCAATGTCAACGGTGTCGCTTTCAGCAGTTCCACATTAACTATAACGTATTATATCGTATCACAAATGACATTACCAGATCCAGGGTGTTTTTCGCTCTCATTGGCTAATACCCTACAATGCCCTGGAATGCGACGTGCTGTTCCTAGTTTTCAAGAGTCAATTAGGTTGATTATCTGAAAGCACTTTTCGGCACTCGGCCACCGCATGGGGTCTTGCTTTGAAAACGCTGCAAACTTCTGATTAGATTAACTCTAATTGGATTGGCTGCTGCAAAATGAATTAATTTACTTAAACGCACAATGAGTTGGCATAAAAGTTTCCCCAATTAATGATAGTCTGGGTTTTTTCTTCTTTGCTCTGAGCGATAGGTACACATAAATTTGGGCTTTTTGCATATCTTTAAGAATTCTCAGTTTAGTCATCACTTCGGAAATAGTAAAGCAATTTGTGTAATTCATTACTGTAAATTGTTAAGGCACGCGATCGCGCAATTTAATAAGCTGAAAACATGCATATGTAAAGTAATGTAAACAAATATATATATAGAAATTAAATTCAATTATCGAAATTAACAACTTCGAAAGCATGCAATTAAAATCAAGACATCTTAAAGGAAATATAAATTATAAACATTTTTCTCACATTTCTGTGCGCTGAGTACACGATTTTCTTATTGTTAATATCATTTGCAATTATATATAATATATACATATATAATCTTCTTTATTGTAAACATATCCGATTGATTCCTATTATAATCATATAATATGAATAAGTAATCTATTATAGCAATATAATATAATATAAGACGATAATGAATTTAATAGCGTGTTTAGTATCATTATATCATGGGTTGAGATATGCTGAAATTGTATAATGGGAGTATAGAATTTTCTGTATTATATAGAGTGGTTTAATAATAAAACTAAGTTGAGATCACGTTGCGAGAGCAATATAGTAAACTAACCATTTTGTCTCGAATGTTCATATAGTAGAGATATGATCATATCATTAAAAGATCATTAAAATAATAATAATTTGGCTTAACTACAATGAGACCTTTTGAAGACAATTCCAAAATGAAAAATCCTTGAGCTTTTTCTTAAACAGAGAAACAGTTACTACTTTACTATATTAAGCATATATAAAGTCTTCAACCGCTCTTTAATCAAATATTTTATATGAGTATAAAGCTAAACAATAGCATAATTAATCACTTTATTATATAAACCCAATTTCAACTACAAAACGTAGGGCTCTCAACTGTAGTCAACGTTTATATAATTACATGAGCTGCCCGACTAGACGTTCGCCTTTTCCCACATTATATATTCATGTACATGTCAAATGCACAGAAGCTAACTATTAGGAATTCTTTGTCATGTCACGATTTCGCCCATTGTGCAAAGCCTTCAAAGAATGCCGCTGGAAGCGCTGCGCCTCTGCCTTCTTCCGCATGCATATTGTCAGGTAGACTCAGCTCACCAGAGCAAACACTCCAGAGGAAGTTGCACAAGCAAACAAAAAAAAAAACACACACCCAAAAAATGAAAGTATTATCACACACTCACACGTGCAATTATAGTTCGTATATGCCATATAATACATATCAGTTAATTACACAATTGAATACTTTCAATTGTTGCAAATCACGCTGCTGGCATATCGAGGCCAGGCGCTCGCTGAGTCAGCCAACTATATTCGACTTTCAAAACGAATGCCCCAAATGCATTTGAGTACCGGTTCACAGACCTGCTCGAGATGCTGTGCGCATTTGACTTTGAACTTCAAGCATAAGTAATAAATGTACATGCATATGCATATGTATATGTATATGTATGTATGTCTATATTTCGCATGCAAATTGAGCTGGCTATCAGCCAAGAGGCGTGTTTGTCAGCCCATTGGCACGGGAACAGCATGGGCATGCACCCAGCCTGGCTATGTCTATGTCGCGTGGCACACTGTGATAAGGGGTTCAGCCAGATGTATAACATATTGACATATGCTGACAATCGGCTGTTGTTTAATCTAATCTATTCGAGACTAATTCCAAACCATTTAATTTATAGCCCTATCAGTAGAAGAGGTCAGCTCAACTTGTGATCTTAGCTCTTAGTCTGAGTTTGGGTTCAGACTTTAAGCACTTTAAGCACAAACTACTTGAAACTACATCTCTATCAATCTAATGCGCTCAATCTAGAGGTCTATCAGTTGGGGAGATCAGCTAAACGGCTGATCTAAACAATGTTTGGGATGAAGCTTCAAAAGGAACTACCTTCTCTTGAACCTGTAGCTCTATCAGTAGGAGAGGTCAAGGAAACTTGTGATCTTAGCTATGAGACGGTGTTGGGCTCTTAAGAAATCTAACTGCCCTTGACTTTCCTTTAGCTTTAGCTCACTTCTCCAGCAATCGAATCCGCTTTATAGGTTTATTAGTAGAAGAGATCAACAAGCACTTCAAGTCCCAACGGCTATTGACTTTTCAAATTCAATGCTACATCTCCATCAATCTAATCCTCTTCGATCTTCTCTATGTTTTCAGGGTCTGGCCTTCACACATGAGGAACGTCAGTTGTTGGGCATTCACGGTCTTTTGCCCTATTCGGTGAAAACCCTTCAGGATCAGGTGAAGCACTGCCGTATGTTGCTGGATCGCCTGCCTAACGATTTGGACAAGTATATGTACCTGATTGGCCTGTCGGAGCGCCACGAGCGTCTCTTCTACAATGTGATCAGCTCAGATATTACGCACATGATGCCGCTGGTCTATACGCCCACGGTGGGTCTGGCCTGCCAGAAGTACAGTCTTGGGTTCATCAAGCCCAAGGGCTTGTTCATCACCATCAAGGATAAGGGGCACGTCTACGATGTGCTCAAGAACTGGCCAGAGACGGATGTGCGCGCCATCGTGGTGACCGACGGTGAACGCATCTTGGGTCTGGGTGATCTCGGCGTCAATGGCATGGGCATACCCGTGGGCAAGCTGTCGCTGTACACGGCACTCGCTGGCATCAAGCCCAACCAGTGCCTGCCCATCACCCTGGACGTGGGCACCAACACCGAGTCCATACTGGAGGATCCGCTCTATGTGGGTCTGCGCCAGAAGCGCGCCACTGGTGATCTCTATAATGACTTCATCGATGAGTTTATGCGCGCCTGCGTGCGCCGCTTTGGCCAGAACTGTCTCATCCAGTTCGAGGACTTTGCCAATGCGAACGCGTTCCGCCTGCTGTCGCTGTATCGCGACAAGTACTGCACATTCAATGACGACATTCAGGGCACTGCCTCTGTGGCTGTAGGGGGCTTGCTGGCCTCGCTGAAGATCAAGAAGACCAAGCTGAAGGATAATGTGCTGCTATTCCTGGGCGCTGGCGAGGCCGCGCTGGGCATTGCTCAACTGTGCGTCATGGCCATGAAGCAGGAGGGCCTCACCGAAGAGGAGGCCAAGACGCGCATCTGGATGGTCGACAGGTAAGTCAAATACTTTATGAACTCATCATAACAAATCCAATTAACCTCCATATCGTCCATTTGCAGCCGCGGCGTTATCGTGCGCGATCGTCCAAAGGGCGGCCTCACTGAGCACAAGTTGCACTTCGCTCAGGTCAGCGCGCCCATTGACACCTTGATGGACGCTGTGGTCAGGGTGCGTCCCAATGTGCTGATTGGTGCCTCGGCTCAGGGCGGCGCCTTCAACCAGGAGATACTCGAGAAAATGGCCGAGATCAATGAGACGCCCATCATATTTGCCCTCTCGAATCCCACCAGCAAGGCTGAGTGCACCGCCGAGGAGGCCTACACCCACACACAAGGACGTTGCATCTTCGCCTCCGGCTCACCGTTTCCGCCAGTCACCTACAATGGCCACAAATATTATCCAGGCCAGGGCAACAACTCGTACATCTTTCCGGGCGTGGCTCTAGGCGTCTTGTGCGCCGGCATGCTGACAATACCAGAGGATGTGTTCCTCATCGCTGCCCAGAGTCTTTCCGACATTGTGAGCAAGGAAGATCTGGAAAAGGGCAGCCTGTATCCGCCACTCAACTCGATCGTTCAATGCTCAATGAAAATTGCCGAGCAGATCGTAACCTATGCATACAAGAGTGGCCGGGCCACCGTGCAGCCGGAGCCCCAGAACAAGCTGGCCTTCATCAAGGCCCAGATGTACGATCTCGACTATCCTCGTGCCTTGCCCCCCACCTATCCCATGTAAAGAGAGACGCAGCAAGCGAACCACATGCGGCCGCCTCAGCTACTCAACCATCTCCTCTCGTCCTCAACGTCGCGACTCTTGGCAGAAACTCCACCATTTGCCTTCTATGAGGAAACCAGCAAAACCGGGTGTCGTTATTTATTCTACAGTTTCATGCATTCTTAGCACACACCTTTATAAACATAAAATACAGAAGAAGAAGAAGCAGAAGAAGAAGGGGAAAAATAAGAAGCTTCGTATGTCGCTTAATGGCCGAAATTGATAACAAGATTTGTTTTAGATAATCATTTTAATGATGCAGTTGATATGTGTAAATGGGATATTACTATTCTAGATATCTATATGTGTATACAAATTCTATGTAAACGTGAACACAAACTATGATAAGTACATAAGTCAAAAAAAAAAAAAAAAATTATAATAATATAAAAACAAAAAAAAAAAATATTAAAATAACTAAAAACAATAGTGAATGTGTTTGCTTTTTGAAACGGAGAGCAGAGTTCTTGAACATTAATGTTAAACTCAGATTCGTTACGGTTGGGTAACATAAGCATCTGTATATATGTGTGTATATATATTTATCAGATCATTTTCATTCATTGCATTTGGGGCATTGGGGCATTGCAAATTAACTATCAGCTTAATAATATTGCATTGGTGTTAAACTTCGAATATAACAGATCGTAATAATATGATCTAGACATCTAATCTATTATCGTAATACAAATTGAACAAGAAATGGAGCTTTAAAGCCTATTAGTAAAGCGGGATTACACTGTTTTGAGATTATCTCATCTCTCATTCGTAGATCATTTACTATGATAAATTAAATGGCAAATTGAGATAAATCGCAAAACACTAATGAAAATACCTAAACAATTTATGATTAGCATAGAAGGATTAGGTGATAACTACAAGTACTTTTGGGGTGTGCCAAATCGAATAATATTGATTTGATAAAAAATAGTCAAATTAACTGCAACTCTATATATCTATTGTCGTGACTTGAGAAATGTGAAAAGTCTGTAAGAAAGTTGCATAATCTGTAAAAAGAAACTTTACATATCAATTTTCAATAAGAATCCAAGCTCAACTTACATCCGTAAAGTGAATCATATTAACTTCCACCAAGCCATAAGCCGTTAATTTGCGGGTGCACTGAGAATATTTTATACAGATCAGCATCACTTTGCGGTATTTCTTACTGCCGTGATACCAGCTGTGGTTATACAATGCCTCATTCAAGCCCGCAGACTGGGAAATAATATATTTATGTATATAATATTTAAGAAAGTGCTTTTTAGTTAAACTCACGGCCTCCTCGAGCTGTGAGCCACGCAGGCAACACTCAAACGTGAAGGCCACCAGAGCCATGGTGGGGCCTAAGAACTTGGCAATCATCAGTTTGTCGCTTGCCTCGGACATTAAGTACAAATGAAAACAGATGGAGGTGGCTCCGACCAGATCGCTCAAAAAGATTGCCAGCTTGAATAGATCATTAAACTTGTCGCATAGCACATTGATCTCTTGATGGCGGCGTATCAAGCCGCTGATGTACGCATAGAACCTCTTCTCATCCACTGGATTTTCACTGTCGACGGCATTGAGCTGCTCTATCTGCCTGCGCAGGCCATTCAGATGCATTCGCAGCAGCGTCTGAAATGCAATGAACAAGGTGTCGAAGGTGGTGAAAAAGGTGACGCCGACGAGCATGGCGTAGACGTCGTAGATCCACACGAATGGATAAAGTAAATGGATCTGTCGAATATTGTACGGTAGCCAGCCTCCAAGCAGCTGTTGGTCCAACAGGATGGGCGCATTCCGATCCTCATAGGCGAGTATGTAGAAAATAATCGGTGCAATGCTGAAGCCACCAAGAGCGACAAATGCAAAGAGACCGACGTAGCCTTTCCGCTTCTTGAGCTGCTCATATATCTCCGCCACTTGGAGGTGCCGTTGTGTGGGCAAATCCCGTGGAAATTCTCGATCCATCACGTTGATGAAGTCGATAATTTCGTGTCGCTTCGTATACAACAATATTCCACGAATGGCATAATATACCGAAATACTCAAGACGGGCAGATTTTGACTGGAAGTCACGCCTCGATGCATCGACCAGAAAATATCAAATAAATTGACACCAAAGAACCAGATGTCCAAAGAAAAGCCCGTAAAGAAAACCAAGTCCGATCTGTTGACAATACGGCCCTCATCATTGCGATAAAACTTAAAGTGTAGTAAATGAAAGAATTGCTGAAACTTCTGAAATTCAAAGAATGCCTCAATTTTAATGGGTTGATTTATGTTATCCATGTCTAGGAATATCTTGCACAAAGCTTTTTCAAACACTATAATGCGTTACTATGCACTACGTCTATATATACGGAAATCTAGCACCAGCCCACAATTGGATAATAATTGCCAGTTGGTTGCACCAATCAGGACTTTTTTAATTTCGCATTCTAATTGTTGGTTGGAAGGTGATATTGAATTGGAAAATTAGTGGGTGCAAAAAAAAAAAATAATTATATCAAGTAAGAGTGCGCTATATTGGGAGTGTTTGCCTAGGAGATACCCTAAACCCCAGCCGAGTTACATTTCATTTTACATATGATCATTATGAAACTCTAATTTTCTGTACATTTGACAAATAGAATACAATGTATTTATCCAGTACAAATACATTCCAATAATTTACTCGTTTTGTTCTGAAATTCTCAGTTTCAAAATTACCGGTTTTATTTCCCGTTTTTAATGTGTCGATAGGATCCGAAATATTGCGTTAACGTTGCTCAGTTTCGCGCTAACGTTACTCATCCGGCGTTTACGTTTGTTTTGGTTCTGCGCTCAGAGCGACACATGGAAAATGCCATATGCCAGAGCGAGACAACAAATCAGCTTGTCTCGCAACTGCATCCCTGGTCTGCACATATGAATAACGTAAATATTGTTGAAAGCCAATACAGTAAAACCACTAAATTGTTGTGCAAAATAACTACGCATATAATGGAACAATTAACGGTAAGCTATGCTGCAAAGAATTGCCAATTACAATTAATTATTTACCCACATTTTATGCGCAGGCATGTTTCGGACGCCGTCAATTGGCCAACGAGCTAAAGCAGAAACAGGTGAGTGCCGTGTCGAAAATAAATACATAGGTGCACATACATATACATATCAATGCTGACCACATGCAATACCCAACTAGGCCATAACAGATCAGCTGCTGCAGCGCATACTCTACTCAAAGCGATTGCTAGTTGATCATGTGGAGGCTCTGGAGCAATGTATGCAAACCCATCCCGAAAAGGCAACCGGCCGGCAGTTGCTAACCACGCGGAGTGCTTGTATTTTGTTGGGCGGCACCGTTCTACAGCACCTGGTTACTCCGCGTGGCCTGCGATTGTCCCTGATGCCATCCATCCTCCTGACCACGACATTTGGCGCCCTATGCGTCGTCAAAAGCGTTTTTGTCTGCCGCAACAAAATCGTGGAGCGCAAACTCGAGGAGCTGGTAAAGACCATCGATGAGTTTGGCAATTGCATAAGGCGCAACATGACCTACTTTCAAGAGATTATCATTATGAAGCAGGCCGAGCTGATTGAGTGAGAGATAGAATAATGAATCATCTGATCTTGAAATTAATTGTCCGCTCGTAGATCACGTCAAATTGAACGCGCCTGGGACTGCATTACGGCGGCTAAGGAGGTCACCGAAATCCTCTATGATGCGACACGCAAGCTGGAGCTCGACTATCCCCTGCCCCCCAAATACGGAGCCTACTATGCGCCCATGGAGGAGCTGCGCGAATGCGAATACTTTAAGAACAATGTCACGGACTACAGTCCGAAGCACATTAAGGTGCTTACTGTAACTGACCGATTCGACAACTACATATTCAACTAATCTCCTATATTCACTACAGGACTTTCACAACATATTCGCCTATGTGCAGTCACAGTATTTGTTGCGTCTGGCGCTGACCATTATGACGCGACCTTCTATATCGCAGCTGAGCGAGGAACTGGTGAAGATCGAAAACCAGGTGCGACAGCTCGTGCAGGAGGAGGAGCAGCATTTCAAGAATCTATCGATTGCTATGCAGAACAAGAAGCAACTGGAAATCGAACAGCTGCACGCAGCCAAGGCTGAGCAACAGAAAAGCGGTCCCATTGCGGTGCTGCAGCACTCGTCCCTGAAGCTCAGCGCCTGCATGGTGGCTGTGGCCGGCGAGTGCCAGGCACTGGATGTCACCCTGCAGAAGTTGACCGCCGCCGAGGCGGCCAAAAAGAACAATGCAGACCAGCTCGTGGCTGTGGCCAACAATATGCGTGGTATTGAGAATGCCCTGGCGGTGTGCTGCGATGATTTCCAGCGGCTGATGCTCGTCTATAACAAGTTTCTGAATAGCAAATTGGATCTGGGCGTCGATCCGGCTGAGAAAAGTAAGTCGCCCGCCAAACAAGATGAATTCCCGGAGAGTATTTTACGCGTCGAGTACTCGCAGCATCCCAATGAGCCGCAAAAGTGCGATGACTTCTATGCCTACATGTACGACGAGCAGGAGGCGCGACAGTTCGAAGACGAACAGCCAGCACCGTATCCGACACCCGAAAAGGAGCTGCTCAACTTCGAGAAGCGCATAACCAAGGGCAAATTCAAGCCGGTGCTGAGGCAGCTCAAAGATCGCATCGATCCCATTCGCCGGGTGATGCTGGAGAAGGAGCGCGAAGTGCTCGCCGCGAAAGGCATCAATGTTGACGAGCTATTCGGCCAAGTGGAGCAACTGGAGCAGGACCAACAGCAGCAGGAGCAGCAAGCACAACAGGATAATCGCCTAACGGAGCCAGCGAGTCCCAGCGACTCGGAATCTGATTCAGCGGATGAGATATACGAAAAGCGCAGCAAACAAATCAAAGAGCGCGACAATTTCGCAGAAATGCGTCAATTTCTTGCCCAAAAAGAAGCCGTCAATCTGTTCCAGCTGGATGGTCAGATGCGTCAGCTGCTGGCCTCAAAGGCAGGTGACTCACTGCCGTCACGGCCAGCCCCTGCCTTGGAGGAGGAGCTGATCGAAAGTGAATGCTAGACCCCCATTAGTCGCATTATCTGAATAGTTTCGCAATTCATCTATAAACATTTCAAAGATAAGCAGCTGGCACAGCTGGCTGCAACAGTTTGTCATCGGCCTCTCTCTGACTGTTTTTCGCCTTTCACAGTTTTCTCGGATTCTTTTTTTCGTGCTGTACAAAAAGTCAAAACCAAATAACAATAAACAAATTTAGAGAGAATATTATGGCATGTATATAGTACTTGAATCTCATGAATTGAGAAGCTTAACTATTGTTCCCTTATGTAGCACACTACAGTGGTTGCTCGCTAAAAAGAATTGAGCCGATTCTTATATTTAACGCTAATATTTTGACATTGTTAAAGCATATAATTTTAGAGCGTTTTGTTTAATGCAAATATGTTAGCTGAAATTTGTACTAAAGGTTGTTTATACAGCAGTGACTACTGTAGGTATCTCATCAAAAATTATCAAAAATTAATGTTATATTACATGCAATTTGAGATATACGTAGATAATAGTCTAAGATATATATGCGCAGCTAGTTTTGCATGACTCAGACTACAGTACTCACTCGATAAGTACAGCAGGACAAATTATGACACGTCTATTTAAATTGTTATATAGTTGAAAATTTAATTTTACAGAATTTTACTCACTGCAAATATTTACAATTCTTTATACAGCAGTGAGTACTGTAAATATATATTGCAAATTCTATATTAATCAAATAGGGATTTAAATAGAAAATCGTCTAAGCCTATGTAAACAACTACGTATGTATATCCTAGACTACAGTACTCACTCGATACTAAGAACGTTAAGTGATTATATGTCAAAGTTACATTTTAATATACTAAATCAAAGCCTTTAAAGTTAGCCCAGAAAATTTGTCACTAGCCGTCCCTCAAGCACTGGCCACTGTATCAGTTCAAATATACATAATTCCTTGAAAATGTTTATAAAAATGCATTTTATTTCACAATGATTACAAGCTAACGAATCTTAAGTACAATACAAACATCGATGGCAACACTAGACCCTAGGGATACGAAGGCAAGTCTCCACGCAGGGAGCTGGAGTATATGTATATATACCTCATATATGTATATATATATATATGTATCTATATCCCATATACTATATTCAATATATACAAGCAAATGCATGCACGCAAAGTCTTGTTTGTGTGGTGGCTGAAACACTTTCGTGAACATCTTTGGCTCGGAGCACGTGCAGCAGGCAGGAGCAGGCGTCGTCTCAGGCATTGGGGGCGCCCGTTGAGCCAGCCGCGGAGGCGGCGGCAGCGGCGGCATTGTTGAATTTCGTGGCCACCGACACCGGCTGCAGCTGCGAGAAGGCAGAGAGATTGCTGCCCCGCACACTTGTGTAGCGTATGGGCTGGACGCCGAAGTCGTTGCCCTTGAGCCGACGACGCACGCAGACCACGATGAAGCCGATGATGAGGCCGGCGACGACCACGACGCTGGCAATGATTACCGTGAGGATGATGTAGCGACGACGCAGAAATCTGGGCGGATCATCCTCGACGGCGCGATACTTCTTCGGTATGACCATGTTGCAGATCTGCTGGGCCGTTAGATTGGTCAGCGGCAGGGCGGCCAGCAAGTAGGGCGTGTCGCAGCGGGCGACCGCCAGATTGGGCGCCTGCAGCACTTGAGGAGCGCCGGCCTGTTCGAGTGCCTGCAGCAGCTCACAGCTGCAGTACCAGGGATTGCCGGCAATGGCCAGGCTGCGCAGTCTTGGCCAGCTCGTCGTGTTGGTTGCGTTGAGTGTGAGCGTCGTCAGCGCGTTCTGCGAGATGTCCACCTGCGTTAGATTGCGGCTGGTCACCAAATCCACCAGCTCCAGTCGATCCAGCTTGGGATTGCGCGCGCAGTCCAGTTGCTCCAAGGCGGGCAGCTGCAGAGCACCGAGCTCAATGGTGCGCAGCATTGGCATTTCACTGATGTTCAGGCGACGCAGTGCATCCAGGTGGCGGAAGCTCTGGGCATCGATCTTGGCCAAAGGATTGCCCGCCAAGCTAAGCTGCTGCAGGCTCTTGCCCAGGTGCTCCAGGGCGCCTGGCACCACAGTGAACTCGTTGCCCGATAAGTCCACCTGGTAGAGATTGCTCATCTTGGTAAAGAGATCGCCGGGCAGCGTTAGCAAGCCATTGTGTGACAGATCCAGGCGCTGCAGATTGGCAATGGAGGCCAACGATGCCGTTGTCGCCGCATCCAGCACACTGAGGCGATTGTGGGCCAGCGCCAGTTTCCTCAGCTGCGGCGTGTGCTCGAAGAGCTTGCGATCCAGCCGCGAGATACTGTTGTGGCTAAGATCCAAATCCTTCAGAGCAATCGGCTCGTACTTGGTGGTCTTGAAGGGACCCCGAAACAGATCCGGCTTGAGCGCATCGTCTTTGATCTCATTCCAGCTGAGATAGAGAGCCTCCACATTGGGCACGTCCATGAAGAGCGGCACCTCCAGCTGCTGTATGCCGCAGTGCCGGCACGAGAACGTCAGCGTGGCATTCGTGGCCGGCAGCTGCTGCAGCACCCGAATGCGGTTGCCCGAAAACGAGGCAACAATCTCCATGTCCGCGTGCTGGCTGCCAAACTCCGGCGGCCAGCGGGCCAGAATGTGCTCGAAGTTCTTCATAGCGCAGTTGAGTGTCTGGTGCAGGCGATGATTCGTGTCCTGGGCGGACAAACAGGTGCACGTCGCGCAAATGTTCGCCACGGCCTGGTAGGGCATGCTCTCCTGCTGGGCCAATGCGACACTCAGCAGCAGAGCCTCCGCACTGACAAGCTGCAAGCAGTTATATTTTTGGATTAGAATGGTGTATATATGTAGATATTGTATAGTATATGGATATGTATGATGTGTATAAAGTAATTGATTGATGGAATTGTAAATTCAGCCATAAATTATACATATATATTTTTTTAAGATTATTTAATATATTTATATATTTCACAATTTATTTTAAGGTATTATATTCATTAATAAAAGAATTGTGCACTTAATGCATTTACTTGTATTAAATTATTTGTTCAAATATTATTATTGTTATTATTATATTTACTTATTTTTATTTTGTAAAAAGTTAAAATAAAATCATTGTCAATAGTTCATAAATTTGTTAAAAGTTTTAAAAATATATACCAAAAAAATTATATACATATATTATAAAAATATTATAGATTTCAGACTAGACTCGCATTGGCCTTACATATTGAAAACTTGTATATGATTAATTTTAACGTCAATAAGATTATTGTGCACTTATCAAAATACCTATTAATACATATGTATATACAATATATAAATACATATACTAAATATTTACTATCTTTATACACATATATACGTTATAGTATATATTCATAGTAAATTTCATTAAATGATGTTTTTTTTTTTTTTTTCAAAATTCAACGTACCATAAAAAGGTTTCCCCAAGTAGAGAATTTATACCATGCATGCACACACACATATGTATAATATAATATGTACAATATATAATGTATCTGAACAGTATCAATATATGTACATAATCTAACTGAGTATTGTATTTAGGTGCTTCATAGCAAACCCCAACCACAAACAAAAAACAATTTCAGATAAGATAAGAAAACCACTGAAATTTTAGATACACATGCATACATATACGACTATATATAATACTATATGCCTGAATATTTGTACACTCACCAGTAGCAAAAATGTGTACTTCATACTGTCGAAGTTGTAGCTGTATTTCTTGAAATTCGATTAACAATTTGGTCGTTTGTTGGTTTTTATTGATTAAATTACAATTAAAAACACTTTTGGCTATTAATTACACTGTTGCTTTTGTTTTCTTTTATGGATTGTATTTGTTCAGTTGAAATTGATTGCACTGCGAAATAAACAGCTACCACGAGCACCTCTCGAAGTAGAATTGAAACTAAGGTAAATGATTCAAACCGCAGAGCGCGTATTGAGGCATTATTTGTTTTGATTAGATATCAGCTGGGTGAGAGAGCAACACTTGCCGTTACACGCGCTCTCCCACACGCTCACACAGACGATCTCCCTCTCGCTCACTCTCGCTATCCCGAACACTTACTTTCGCTCTCGGCTAAGCCGCTGTTGGCTGCATGCGCAAGTATTTAGTACAGGGTGTCTTGGGAATGTTGTTGTTGTTTGTTCTGCAGCAAGGCCGTCTCTTATGTTGATGCACCCAATGCCAGACGCCGACTGTCTGAAACAATAGACTCCGACCTGCTATTGTTATTGTTTTTCAATTTGAGCCACAGCGCGTCAATGATTTCGGCGGATAAGATAACGAAATTGTGTCGCATTCAGCCGCAAAAGCAACACAGTTGACTCACTTGCTGTCACTCTGCTCGATTCATATACACATATGCATAGAAAGAGAAGAATTCCAGTCAGAGAAAATATATTAAAGAAATGCCGACTCCAATTAGACTCGTAGAGGCCAATTGCAATGGCAACGAGCGTGTGTGTCACTACGTTCCATTGAACTTTGCGCCATCATTTAGATACACTCACATATACTTATGAATATGTACATATATACAATATGCATGTGTGCGTGTATGTGTATGCATTGATACAGCGAGACAAATTGAGTCGTTCAAAGAACATGCAAATTGATGCTCAGCAACAACAACAACAACAACAGCAACATCACCAAGTGTCGGCAGCTGGTGTACACTGTACAACAAAAACAACAACAACAAAATAAGAAAAGCAAATAAATGTTTGGGTCGCACGCTGTGTGGCAATTGGTTGCATAAACAAAACAGACCCCGAGCTGACTCATCGATATTTGTATTCGCAGTAAATTTTAATTTTCTTTTTATTTTCTTCAGATTTTGTTGTTTTTTGTTACACGCTTAGAAACCGCAGACAACAACGTCGCGACGCTGCACGCGTCGCCTTTCCCACTTGCAACACGAAACCCGTTTACAACTTGTTGTTATTGCACTTTTGCAGCTGCCCGCCGTGGCTCATCCTCATTCTGGCTCTTAAATCAAACGAACAGCAACAGAAACCGAAAGCGAAACTAAAGCAGCAGCAGCAGCGGCGGCCTCTGCGACGATCATTACCTGTGCTGCCTGTTGCTCAAATTCAACTGAAACTGGAAATCGTTCAGGCAGCAACAAAAGCAGCAGCAGCAGCAACAGTCGCAGCAAACATTCTCTGTCCATGCCTTAAGCTGGATATCGATGGCCGTTCCCACAAGTTGGAAGCGACTGTCCCCTTTGGCACCCCTCGCCCCCGTCCGTGCTCCACGAGCCACCCCAAAAACCGGTCGCTGCCCGAATTTTAGACTGTGGCACATTGTTTATGCCACTGCCGAAATGCGCAACTGCGCGGCTGCGCATTTCAATGCTTTAATATTAATGTGCAGCAGCTGTGCCTGTGTGCCTTAAATAATGGCTCCAAATGCAGGAAAAGCTCCGTCGTGCAGAGCTCGTTAACCGTTGATTTGCGTGCATTTCCGGTGCGGCAACTTTAAAGGTTAATGGCATAAAGACGAGATTTGTAATTAAGAACAAACATTTATACGAGCTACATATATACACACGATGTTAACTACACCCCTTATCTCATATGCATATAGTAATCAATCGCCGTGGAGAATGCCGCAAAGCCCAGGCCGCCAATAATGCCTGCCTTAATGCCCGCTCGCAGACCAATCAAGCCGCCGGTAATGCCGCCTGCATAGGTGCCGTTACGCCAATCGGTGACGCCACGTTGCTGGTGAATAGAAATGCAGATATAAGAGTGAGCAATAGACACATCGCCGCTATCTCACTTACGCTTTCGATGGTGCACTCAACCACAGAGAAGACGGCGCCAATTAGCGCGAAATTCTTGGCATACGAATGCGTTGTGCCGCGCATCTCACGCAACACCTCACGCGCCGTCTGTTTCTTTTCATTGGCGAACGGATCGGCCATATTTGGATTCACCGAGGCGCTGAACAGACCCAGAGCTGCGCCCAGTCCATAGCCTGACAATGGAAAACCACTAAAGCTGAGTAAAAACCATCATGAATACACTCCCAGTTTCAGCTCACCCATTACACAGGCCATGGCGCTCTTGAAGGCACAGCTCTCCACGGCTGTTTCGATGAGCTTCTCCTCGTTTGTTTTGATTTTGACCGGCCCATTGCCTTTGGGTATTACTATATTCTCGCGATATCTGTTCAGATTGCCCACAAAATGCATGGCCATTCTGTCAAGCTCTGCGGTGTCTAAGACTCTGGACTTGGGTGCCTCAGCAACCTTGGGATCATCCTTGGGTACCACTGACATGACTGTGTTTTAGTAAACAATCTATTTTTTATACAGTATTTGGATGAAACTATGTAAATTTGTGAGGCGTGTGGAAATAGTTAAAATTGTTATCACATCGTAAGCAGCAGCTGTTGCGTCAGAGTTGTCAAGTACCATTCCACTATTTCGATAACAGCCCTATCGATTGTCGACAAATTAACGATTCGTTAAGTTAGCTTTTAATTTAAAAATTGGGCAAATGTCGGTTTTCCTCTAATAATTTGTACAATTAATTTATATATTTTTGGTTTATTAATGAACTGGCATATACTTAAATATTACATTTTATTGCTATCACAAGTTGATTATACACATACATATACCAAATGGAGAAAACATTCAGAAATAATTGTCAGAAATGTGTCAAAAGCTTCGCCTTAATTAAAGGCATAAATTAGCAGCAGAATGACACAGAAGCCAATTACCGCCCCTAAGATAAGCGAATCTCGTCGCTTTTTGATATTGATGCGCTGTATCAAACTGCAATATACAAATAAAAATTAAGCTAGGCATTTCGTAAATATAATTGTCATTGTTATATTACCTTGATATTAGGGGAAAACGATTGGAAATGTCGTTGAGGCGAGTCTGCAGGCGCTTGAATGCTTGTCGTTGTGCATGCAGGTTATCGCGCGTCTCAATGGCGATGTTTATCTGATCATTGACCATGTTGCTGGCGCTACTCAGGTGCCCGCTCTCCTTCATATACATCTCACGACGACTCAGTCCAGAGATCGATGGACTACCGCTGGTGGCCAGCCCAGAGCCGCGCAACAGTTCCTCTCGCTCGATGCGCATCGTGTGATTGGCACAGATCTTGTTGAATTCCTGTCTGTAGCCCTGGAGTATTTCCCTGTGCCGCTGCAGAGTGTGCATTGCAGCGCTTCCAGTTGCGGGCAGCTCCGACATCGATTCATTCAGTGTTGATAGCTGCAGAAATCAATTGGATCACTTGGATAGGATTTGTAGTGTTTGACATATATGTAACTTACTTTGTCGAGCATTTGCTCTATATCAGCAGATAGTGAATCGAATACATGCTCGCCGAGCAGAGGTGATGTGTCAGCAGCGCTGCTGTTGCTGCTGCTTATGCTGCTGCCAGCTCCGATTTTACTGAATGCCACAAGTTTGAGGTCGATTTCATTTTCCAGGGTGCGCGCCTGCTTGCGTAGCACTTGGTGTTTGTTTCAAAAAGCAGTATAAGCACATAGGCAGGTGAATAGTTTAGCACATATATTTACCATCGTAGCTAGAGCCAACCATTTGCATTTGATTAAGATATTAGTTTTACTTGCATGCACAACAAATACAATGAAATTCAACTTCGGATACTAGGGCTACAGTAACCAGGTCATTCGGTATTTTTCTTTATCACATTAAATAAAGATTATCTGTAAAATGTTTCAGTCTAAACTAGGAACTTGGTTTGATTAATTTTTGAAGATATTCTATTTCCGCATCAAAATATAAACAATATACATATGTATTTTAAAACAAAGAGACAGTATTTTTTTATTTCTTTAATGGCAATCGATAATTATTAATCGATTATTGCAGACATCATATGTGAATTAATTGAACGCGTTTTTGTTGCCGGCAAACGTCGAAAGCATTAAACTTTAATTTAATAAAGTATAACAGAATGGCGCAAGCCCAATCAAATAATGACACACGAGTGCCAGATGAAGAGAGTGATCTATTACAAATCAAGCCGCTGTAAGTAGCCAGCAACTTTCTTAAATGAAGAGTGATGTGAATTTTTCCCTCTTCCAGTGGAGCTGGCCAAGAAGTGGGACGCTCCTGCATCATGCTGGAGTTCAAGGGCAAGAAAATAATGTTGGACTGTGGCATACACCCGGGACTGTCTGGCATGGATGCCCTGCCCTATGTGGATTTGATAGAAGCTGATGAAATTGACTTGTTATTCATATCACAGTGCGTATTAAAACATTCAAATTTTAATTGCATTTTAAATATATTTTAATTTGATTGTTAGCTTCCACCTGGATCACTGCGGTGCTCTGCCATGGTTCCTTATGAAGACAAGCTTTCGCGGTCGCTGCTTTATGACACATGCCACCAAAGCCATTTATCGCTGGATGCTCTCAGATTACATTAAAATCAGCAATATATCAACCGAGCAGATGCTTTACACGGAAGCTGATCTGGAGGCATCCATGGAGAAAATCGAGACAATCAATTTTCACGAGGAACGGGATGTGATGGGTGTCCGCTTCTGCGCTTACAACGCTGGCCATGTGCTGGGCGCTGCAATGTTTATGATAGAGATCGCTGGCATTAAAATCCTTTATACGGGCGACTTTTCGCGTCAAGAGGATCGCCATTTGATGGCCGCCGAGGTGCCGCCCAAAAAACCAGATGTGCTGATCACAGAGTCAACCTATGGCACACACATACACGAGAAGCGCGAGGATCGCGAAAGTCGTTTCACATCGCTGGTGCAGAAAATCGTAATGCAGGGCGGACGCTGTCTCATTCCGGTCTTCGCCTTGGGCCGTGCTCAGGAGCTGCTGCTGATATTGGATGAGTTCTGGTCACAGAATCCGGATCTGCACGAAATACCCATCTACTATGCCTCCTCGCTGGCCAAGAAGTGCATGGCCGTCTATCAGACCTATATCAATGCCATGAACGATCGTATTCGCCGTCAGATCGCTGTGAACAATCCATTCGTCTTTCGTCACATTTCGAATTTGAAGGGCATCGATCACTTTGATGATATTGGGCCATGTGTGATCATGGCGTCGCCGGGTATGATGCAGTCGGGCCTGTCGCGGGAGCTCTTCGAGAGCTGGTGCACAGATCCCAAGAATGGCGTCATCATTGCCGGTTACTGTGTGGAAGGCACTTTGGCCAAGACCATTTTATCCGAGCCAGAGGAGATCACTACCCTGTCTGGTCAGAAGCTGCCGCTCAACATGTCCGTCGACTACATATCCTTCTCGGCGCATACAGATTACCAGCAGACAAGCGAGTTTATTCGCATGCTAAGACCCAACCATGTGGTGCTCGTCCATGGGGAACAGAATGAGATGTCGCGTTTGAAGCTGGCGCTGCAGCGTGAATATGAAGCAGATGCCAGCACGGACATCAAGTTCTACAATCCCCGCAACACTCACGCTGTAGATCTCTATTTCCGTGGCGAGAAGACAGCTAAGGTGATGGGTCATCTGGCAGCGAAGAAGCCAGAGGTGGGCAGCAAGCTCTCCGGCGTGCTGGTGAAGCGCGATTTCAAGTACCATCTGCTAGCACCCTCGGATCTGGGCAGTAAGTAGAATTAAGCAGCAATTCAGGTGGGCAGCTCTTACTCAATCTCCGCCCCTTCTCTTTCAGAGTACACCGACATGAGCATGTCGGTGGTCACCCAGCGTCAGTCGATACCCTGGACCAGTTCCCTGGCCACGCTTCAACTGCTGCTCGATCGCATTGGCGCTGGGTGTGTGGAGATCATTGAGCCGGATCGCAAGCTGCGCGTCTTTAATTGTGTCGAACTTACCGTGGAGCAAAAGATTATTATCATGGAATGGCATGCCACCCATGTGAATGATGTCTATGCGGATGCCGTGCTGGCCTGCCTAATGCAATCCGAGCTGGGTGGCACAAACATCAAGGGTGCCACCAAGCAAACCAAATCGGAGGAATCCCGCTTTCGCGAGTGCCTCATCGAGACGCTGCAGGACACTTTCGGTGACAGCTGTGTGCCCAAGCTATTCAAAGGTGACTTGCTGCCGGTTACAGTCAGCGGCAAGCACGCCGAGATCAATCTGGAAACATTGGTAAAAACTAATTCACAAAAGGGAATAATTATAATATTTACAAATTCTAAATCTCTTCAATTACAGACTGTGCAATGCGCCGAAGATGAGGTGCTGCGGCAAATGCTAAATACCACCGTGCAGAAGCTGCACCAAACCTTGGTCTCTGTTCACTGACACAATTCCAAAACTGATATGAATCCTCTTGATTAATCTTTATTAGTTTTCCATTCAAATGTTGTACAATAAAAGTCGCAAATTATTTATTTATCGTGCAGTTCGGGTTTTGGCTATTTGCTCCTTGAGCACCAGAATGCTGGCGCGTTGCTCAGGCGGGAGCTGGGCAATCTGATCGTCAGATAACTGCAACACCTGCATAATGAGTGCGGCCTTCTCCTGGTCTGAGGCATCCGATGGCAACACGCCATGAGCCCCCAATCGACTTTGCAGCTGCAGCGCCGCCGATTGCTGCTGCTGCGTCACTGTCTGCTGCACCTGTGGAGGCGGCTGCTGCTGCTGTTGCACCGGTCCTGGTGGCATGGCACCACGTAAACGAGGATCCATTGGACGCTGGCGTGGATCGCTTGGGTATGGAATGGGTGCGGCTGGCGGTCCTTGCTGTTGTTGCGGCTGCATTTGAGCGCGAGTGCGTGGATCCATAAGTGGCGGCGGTACGGGATTGGGCATGGGGCCTGGCACCTGGCGCATGTCCTGGTCCAGATTACGACCCATCATACGTGGATCCATATTAACCGGCCCACCGGGCACCATGCGCAAATCGATGTCATTCGAGTGCATATTATTGAAGTTCGGCCCGGGCACAGGCATGGGCTGCATCGGTCCAGGACCACCAACACCCCCTGGCTGTACGGGCGGCTGCTGCTGCGGCGCTGGTTGTTGCTGTGGCGCTGAGCCCATGGGCATGGGGCCCGAATTAGCGTGAGGGTTGCCACCCAGAACGGGAGGCATTTGGTTAGCCTTGAAGAGCATACCCAATGCCTGTTGCGGATCAACAATGCGCATCACCACCATGGCCTGTAGCAGAGCATAGGCTAGCTGCGGATTCAGCATAAGCATCTGACGTGCTTCTGAGGGATTGCTTACAATGCAGAGCTTCATTTGCTTCATCAGCTCGTACATCTGCTCCGGCGGCAGGGAGGCAACTGTTTTGGTAATCAATTCAGGTGCATCGTCTGGGTCACAGGGTTCGCCATACGGATTCTCTACTTGTGGTCCCTGCAACAGCTGCTGCATCTCCATGCGTGATTTCTCTGTACACGCATTGTCCACTCGCAAAGTGCGCCCACCAATCTCGTAGCCATTGAGATTGCGCATGGCACTCAGTGCTGTTTCCTGATCCTTGTACTCGCAGAAGCCAAACCCTTTGGGTTTGCCGCTCTCGCGATCAAACACAAGTCTGTAATGGAAATTTTATTTATAAGAAATTCTGATTTACAGATCACTGGGGCTTACTTAAGCGAAAGTACCGGGCCAACTTCACTAAAAATTTCCTTTAGCTTCTCTTCGGTAGCTTCGTAGGGTATGTTGCCTACGAACACTGACCGCATGGATTTATCCATAATACTCTGTTCTTGTGCTTTATCGGTCATTTTGATATTGTTTATTTGACGTTCGCTAAATAATATTATGAATTGTTATTAATTATTCTGAATGCGAATGCGAACAGTCGGCTAAAAAAATTCCCAATGATGCAGCCACACAGAGTTGCTCAGCACAGTTTAGTGTTGGCAAACACTGAAACGCTGAAACCATAAGTTTTACAGCACTCTAACGCCTGGTGTTGTAATTTTTCATTTGTCGCAAGGTGAAATCGAAATGACGGCTATTTAATAGTGCAAAGTGAATTTAAATCACTAAAAATATCACCAAGTTGTGGCTAATAAAGGCGTGCATCCGTTTAGCATAAATGCCCGAAAGAAAATCTATACCAAGTGCATGAAAAACGTGATTGAAAATTTACTTTGTGTGTAGCACACACACGCACACACACATGAAGATAAACGCAGCAATGGCCTCGCACTCGCACTCGCATTCACAGCATATATGTATATAAAAGCTCAGTTGTATATTGAAGAAGGAGCGCACAAAGCAAAAGACGAGAAGAAAGATTTCTGTGTCATTGAACGAGGCGAAGAGGCGACGACCAGACCAAGACCAAGGAGCTCCCAAACCACAACGCAGCAATTATATACACATACAAAATACATACATACATATATAATAACAGCTGCAGGTGCCCCATCAAGGATACTACGCTCTGTTCCATACCCCCGCATGTTTATTGGAGAAATCTTGCCCTTGCCTTCAACAAACACACACACACACATAGTACGATCGATATTGACGCCGCCTGTATATAAAAGTTTTTATTGAACACATATCCCATACAAATGCAATTACAATTCATTTACAATTAGTGCTCATAAAACATTGTTGTCAGTGTGTGTGTGTGTGGACTTCTCTCCTTGAATGAATTCAAAAGAGAGCAGAGAAAATTAAAGAAACACAAAGCGGAAATACTCGGAAATTGTGTCTACCTTGTTGTGCATGTGTGTGTGTGCGTGTGTGTGTGGGCAAGAATAGCAAACGGTAGTGCTTTGTGCGTATGTGGAAAATCAACGCATCAGAATACGAAACGCAATCAGAGCTCGGCATAGCCCGCAGTTAGCTGTCCTGAGCAAGATCATACTAACACACACACACCGCTGCAGCAGTAGCAGTAGAAGCGAGAAGGTAGGTAAAGAAGAAGGTGGCAATTGCACTCTTCACATGAGTTCTTTTTAGTTTTGTAATGTAAATGTATGTACTCATTGGAGAAGAGGTATCGATGTTTGTATGTATGTGTATGTGCTCGCTCACGCACTTTTGATTTTTGTGCGACTTGTTCATCGCTTTGCATTGTAAGCTTCGCTCGAAGGAAAAATCAATAGCAACAGACGTAGACATTGCTGCTGTTTTTATTTTTGTGCAGCCCCAGCACAACCCTTATACGTGTAGTGCCCATATACGACAAATACATACAACAACAATATTTAGATAAAATAAATCAAACAAAAAATTACACATTGTGCATGTGCACGAAAAAAAAACAAAAAACTACGCAAAAAGTTGACCATTTCCAGCGGCATTGCCAGTGCTTAACAACAACAAAGCAGCTCTAGAGTAAGTGTAAGTGTGTGTGTACTAACAGTACGATTGAGTACTTGTAACGAATATCGATATTCTTAGTGGGCATTTAGATCATAGTGGGTAATTACGGTACATTTAAACAAATATCCCATAAATACTATTAACTTGAAAGCATTGCTTAGCTAGATTTTGTCGATAAATAGATTAAGCACAAGGAAAGTGCTTTTCTGCTTTGCAAAGCATGATAGATAATTAGAGAATCATTTCTGTTGATTATGGTGAGCAGCTGTTTTCTTACTCAGCTGGAATTCTTGCATAAAAGAAGGGCTTCAAGATACAAAATAAACTTCCTTTCTATTGCTGTTAAGGTGCGACAATGCATTGGAATGCAAATGTTTACACATATCGAGTTATACCAATAATATTGATAACGAAAATGCCAATCGCGCATAGCAAATATTTTTGAAGCCATTTGAAACGCTTGAAAAATAAAGTATTTGATCATATTATTGAAATCAGTTATTTGTATATAAAATTAAAGTAAGTTTTGCATGCATTATTTTCTTAAATTATTGATCTGAATCGCTGGCATAAATCATTTGAAAATCACAGTCACTGATGTTTAGTGTGTTCTGTATTGAAAAGTCACAGTATTCGCTGATTCATTGCATTTATTGCTCATGCCCAGCAAATAACTCGTCATTATCGCGATGTTGCCGTGTGCTCATCGTCCTCACAAGTTGAATGCACAGAAAAAGCTGTTCCAAAAGTTGCTGTTGTTGTTGCTGCTGTTGGCACAACTGGGCATTCCATTCCATTCCATTTGCACTCGGCACTCTTCTTCCTCCATAGCAAGCAGTTCACAGCCGGACGAAGCTTTAACCGATGCTGTTGTTGTCTCCGTTTCCCGTTCCCGTTGCACACGCACACACTCGCTCATCTTCATATGTGTAGCTGCATAATAAGCACTACGATACATACGCATATTTATGTTTATTTGTTGTTTCTGATTTCGATTCACGATTCACGTCCTTTGCTTAGTCGCTGCCTCAATTGGTATTTGTGAGAGAGACGACACACTTGAATTTCCCATAGCCAGAGCTTTTGCTCTGAGCAAATAAATAATGCACGTTTTCGCAGATTATGTGGCAACGATCCGGGGTTTGCATTCTTTGCTGTTGCCATATCAGTTTGATATCAGTGTCAGCTTACGGCAATTATTATCGAGCTTCGCATAAATATATGTATCGTATATACACACGTCTACATCACGTACAATTTTGTTATTTTTATTCTCTTCACTTGCAGCGCCGCTCAAGGATTGAGCAAAATGGCCGCCACACGAACAACAGCACCAAAAGTCACAGTTTTATGACTCTAAATTGATATTGAGCGAGACAGAGAGTGAGAGAACGTAAGAGGTCGCGTGCAGTAGCTGCAACCGTACGAGCTTGATTAACCAGCGTTAGCAGCCCAATCATCATCATGGTGGACAGTGTGCAGTGTCCCGTGTGCACCTTGTACCTGCATGCGGGCATGAATCTCTCCGATCATCTGGAGACACATCCCAAGGAACAGGTCATCAAGGCGCTGGTGCAAATGACCATTGTGAACAACAATGGCATGGGCAGCGCCCTGGCAGCAGCTTTGCTCTCAGGCGATGGCGCCACGAGCTCCACCTCATTGTCAGCCACGAATGCGGTTGATGTCAAACCAGTTGTACCAGCATCTTCACCACCACCACCACCTCCACCAGCACCACCAGCAACAGCTGCAGCTGCAGCGGCAGCAACTAAATCAACAACAGCCAAAGCTGCGTTGCCCAGCAGCAGCAGCAGCAACAGCATCAGCAATAGCAGCTGCGGCAACAATAACAACAATAACAAATTGAGCAATCCACCGATAAAGGCAGTAAAAAACGCGCCACCCACGACTGAGGCGCCAGCCAACACATCAAACACACCCACCACAAGCAGCGTGACCGCCATCTATTCCGAATATCGCTATGAACAGCAATCCCAGCAGACGCCAACGGCACCAGCTGCGGTGCACAGCTTTGCACGTGGTGCCACCACGCTGGTCATACCACAGGCGCCACACCAGCAACAACAGCCGCAGCAGCAGCAGCATCAGTATCTGGCCTCACAGCAGCAGGCTGCCCACTTTGCCCACCTTCAGCAACAGCAGCAGCCGGCCCTGAAGTATACCTATGCAGCAGCGCTGCCACCGCCGCCACCTCTGCAGGTGAGTGTCTCAATAGCTTTCCATACATCTTGTATATCAATTAAAAATATGCAATCCTCTCTTGCAGCTCTTTGCGCAGCAGACAACAGCAACACAATCACATCAGAAGCCACCGCCCGCCTATGGCGCCGCCATCAGTCAAATTAGATCTCAGCATAACCAAAACAAACAGCAACAGCATCAGCAGCAGCAGCAACAACAACAACAACAGCAGCAGCAGCAGCAACAACAACAACAGCAGCAGCAGCCACAACAGCAACATATAACCTTGCAACATAACATTAACCTTGCACCACCGAGTGGCAAGCATAGTAAACTCCACACGGAAATCTTCCTCAATCCACCGCCACCGCCACCGCCACAGCTCACGATTCCGTCAGCATTGTCGACTGCCTCATTAAGACTGCAATATCCGCCACAGCATCAACAGTCCCTTGCAGCAGCCGGCAGCAGCAGTAGTAGCAGCAGCAGCAGCGGCAGCAGCAGCAGCAATTATGCCGTGGCTAGCTGCGTGGCTGCTAGCTCCTCCTCTGCCTTGATGTCCTCCATTGCCGTTGGACGCGCTAGCAGCAGTCGTCAGGCAACCAATTCCCCATTCGGTGCGCTGCTGAATGCTGCGGCGCAAGCTGCCTGCGCCTCTCCCGCCTCGTCCAGTGCGTCTGTTCTGCGTTACGCCGAGTCGCCAGTGGCTCACTACTTGGAGCGGGAGAACGGCGACTTCATTGTCCAAGAAACTCCCAAGCACATTGTCGAGTGCGTGGAGAAGGAGGACGGCGAATTCTCGGTGATTGAGCGCATCTATCAGTCGCCGCCCAGCGTACTGCACATACACGACGATGACGAAGACGACGAAGAGGAAGACGAGGAGGAGGACGACAAGGGGTAAGGCCCTGATAGTGATTTTTAATATGCTTATCACAGTCAATATTCTTCTTCTTATTAAAACATAAAATTCTTCTGTTTAGTTGGGCCAACAGCGATGCTGAGGACCACCTGAAGCTGGAGGATCATGTAGAGGATGGCGACGATGAGCACGAGGATAGCCGTAGTAGAGCTTCACACAAGACCACAACGAAAAAGTCACGCAAAGCAAAGGCAAATGGACGGAAGCACAAAAGGGTCAACAAGCATCAGCCGGATGATGAGGATGACTTCATGAGCATAGGCAGCAGCTGCGCCGAGAGCGAGCATCAGCAGGAGCAGCAACAACAGCAGACTCAGCAATCGCATGTCCCACAGGCTGCGTCGCCCGCACCTGGTCCACTATCTACGGCGCCCTCGACGAGCAGTGGAGCAGCGGCTGCCGCGTCCTGCAGCACCAACTCGAACAAGTCGAAAAAGAATCGTGTGACCGTGCTCAGCGATGTGCCGCTCAACATGAACGAGTATCTGGATCTTGTGGGCAACATTGTGGCTTCCAGTCGAATTAGTGCCACGCGTCCGTTTGCCGCTGTGGCGCCCATACCCTTGGTCAAGGTGGAGAAGGAGGAGCCCATGGATGACTACGATACCGTCAGGGATGACCTGCAGGCCATGGAGCAGAAGCATAGCCTGGAGCATGCCAGTGGCAGCAGCAGCAACAGTGGCCATGGCACCACGAGCGTCATCCGAATGGCCAGCACCAGCAGCGCCGCTACCACTGCAAATGGGGCCAACGACGATCTCACGCAGCCGCCGCCCATGAAGGTGGAGGTGGAGCCGACGGTACTGCTGCCGCAACGCTTTTCGGCGCCAGCGCAGCATCGCGGACCCAAGAAGTTAGTCATCAAGCCAAAGGCCACAGGGACGGCGTCGGCGTCGGCAACGACCAAAAAGACTGATAACAGCGCTGCCAGCAGCAGCAGCGGCAGCGGCGCCAGCAGCAGCAACAGCGCCGAACCGCTCAGCATATCATCGAAGGCATCCGCAGAGCCGTTGCAGATCAAGAGCGAGGCTGGGGAGCATGTCTCCAGCAGTGGCAGCATATTGGAGAAGCATTTGACCAATAGCTACGCCGCTCAGCAGGCGCGGAAGCACTCGGCAGTCAACGACGACGATGCGCGCGTGCTGCTCGAGTTTGCCAACTCGAAGCAGCAGCCGCCGGCGGGCAACAGCAACCAGACCACGTTCGTGGTGAACGCGGCAAGCTTTGCGTCGGCGGGCTCCGTCTTTGCCAGCGGCAGCAGCAGTGTGCCGAAGCCAGCTAAGCCGGGCGACGAGTACATTCTGCCAGATAACAATCTAGAGGTGGATGAAATCGTAATATCCTCCTCGTCTTCCTATGCCTCCGACTCGCAGCACGATCAGCTGCAGCAGCAGCAGCAGCAGTCACATCAATCGCAGCAGCAGCCGGCAGCGCAGCAAGCCGTACAGCTTTCGCAGCAGCCGTCCTCCTTTACAGATTTCAATTTCCTGTACCATCAGCATGGAACCCCAACTGTGACAGCAGCAACAACGACGACGGCAGCAGCAGCAACCACTGCCTCAACCTTTGCACCATTTGGCTTGCAACAGCAGCAGCAGCAGCAGGTGCTGCAGCATCCGCAACACGGCTCGAGCGAGGCCACCAATGCCGCCACGCTAGCCTCCTCCTCCAGCAACTCCTCAGTCCTGGATCAGGATTGCTCCATGAATGCCACGTTTCGCGTGGGCAAACAGCAATCCACAATGGCCTCATGGTATCAGCCACAGTCGCAGTCGCAGTCGCAGCCACAGCCACAGCCACAGCCCAGCACTTCCCACAGCTCCAATGTGGAGCAGTCTAGCAACTTCATTGCCGCACTTGCGGCTGTGGAGTGCTGCAGCGTGGCAGCCGTGGACAGCGATGTGAGCGAGGCTAAGTACTTGGATCTGGATGCCTGCAAGCGGGAGCAGTTAAGCAATAGCAGCAGCCACTTGCCCTCGGCTTCTGCATCCACCACATCCTCGTCCTTTGCGGCCGCCGCCACCGAGAGCAGCTTGGTGGGTGGCCTGGGTCTGAACATACGCACCGATGAGAAAATGCCCGCAAAGGGTGAAATCTCCGAGCAGGAGAGCAACTGTGACATTGAGAACTCATGGAGTCAATCGGTAACCAATATATTCATATTGTATTTATTTAAATGATCAGAATCATATACAGTTCATCTATATATACACCTTATCTATCAGCAATCCTGCAAATATATTGACGAATCTAGAGCCAAGAAGCTTTTGATTGTATTATTTGTCCAGATTATTTATTTATTGGCATTTATTTATATATATGAGATTAGGTATCTCTCTAGTCCATAGACTCTCACGTCAATCATTAGAAACTTTTCCTAATTTTTATTTCGGGATCCAAAAGTCGCATTTGGTTTTTAAGTCACATCATTTCATTTATATAGTTCATCAACTGTCATTCATTTCAGATGTACGGCGACTTGTCACAGCGATACTTTAGGAACCAGTTTGCGGATGGCTACAATCAGCAGCTGGCCGATTGGCGCCAAGATTACTATCCGGCGCAGGATCTCAGTGGCCAGCAGCAGCCGGAGCGTGAGCAAAAGCGGTTAGTATTTGGCTATTCCTGAGCATATTCTTATATATTTCAAATTTTGCTTCGCCCGCATTCCAGTTTTGATTTCAACGCTGTTGCTGCGGAGTATGCGCATACGGCGGGTCAGCTGGATGTCTCGCCGGGCTCGACTAGAAACAATCATTTGCTCGATGCACAGCCCACCACTTCCTCGTCGTCGTCGGCATTGTTGGCTGGTCCACCAATAGCCTCGACATCGCGTGCAGCTGCTGAAGCGGAGGCTGTAGCTGCAGCCCTGGCGCAGCGGAAGCCGCCGCGTCGCAAGATCTACAAGTGCCCGCACTGTGTGGCCATCTTCGAGAAGCTGAAGGAGCGCAATGCGCACATGATTGGCGAGCACAACTATGTGCGCCAGAATCGGCGCCTCATCTGCACGCAGGCTTTGGTCAATAGCACCTTGGTGGGCTCGCAGGAGCAACAGGCGCAGGGACAACAACAGCAGCACCAATTGCTGCAAGCAGCGGGGCACAGCAATGCCGACATTATGCATGAGGATTCCAAGGATGGCATTATTAAGATTAAGCAGGAGCACTGCCACGATAAGCAGGATGCCTCCGAGCAACTGCTGGGCCATTCCGAGCTGCCGGACGTTAAGGACTCCGGCTTGCTCAATGGCAGGGATGAGAATGGTCGCGAGCCGGATATGAAGCCGCCGGCAGGCGTCACAGACCTGGACGAGAAGCCGGCCATACCGCCGCTGGCGATGACTACACCAGCGGCCAAACTGGCTGCTCTATATCGCATGCTCATCGCGTACAACGAGTCCAAGCTGGGCCAGGAGCGCAATAATCTCAGCGAACTGGAGCAAAAGGCCATGGAGAAATCCATATTCCTATGCTACGTGTGCCGCACCGACTTCCCCTCTGTCAAGCTGTACGATGCTCATCTGACTGAGCATCCGGCCGAGTGTTTCACCTGTGGCAAGAAATTCTATCGCTGGAAGAACTTCTCGCTGCATCTCAAGCGTCACTTGGGCTGGAAGGAGTTTGGCTGCTACATCTGCGATAAGAAGTTCGTGGTGCGCAGCGCTCTGGTGGAGCACATGCGCATGCACACGGGCCAGACACCGCTCAAGTGTAAGATATGCGGTAAGTAGTGGAATAGCAGTCACAGGCATGCAAAGTAATCGTTTTTTGTAATTGTAGGTAAAAAGTTTAAGCGGTATTCGAACCTAACACAACATCGCAAGCGTCACACCAAGATCCTGGTGCGCAAGAAGGAGTATGTGTGCCACTGCGGCGAGGTGTTGCCGTCTAAGGCGCGCTTCCTGTGGCACAAGGAGACGCACGACTTGAAGCCCAAGTGCTGCCCCTATTGCTGCGATCGTTTTGTGCACGCCAATTCGCTGCGCCGGCACATTCGACTGGCTCATTCGGATAAGTTTGACTACGCTGAGCCCATGGAGTGTCCCATGTGCAAGCAGATCTTTGCCAAGACCTCGATCAAGGCGCATATGGCGACGCACTCGACAGATCCGCAATACGATTGCGCCATTTGCAACAAGAGCTTCTCCACCAAATGGAATCTCAAAATACATTCGTGGGTGCATGCGAATCGCACAGCCAAGCCGTTCAAGTGCGAGTACTGCCCCAAGGCATTCGTGCGCGAGCTGGACTTCAAGAATCACATGAACGCCCACAAGCAGATCAAGCCGTACACGTGCGAGTACTGCGGCTGCAAGTTCATACGCAAGTACAACTATATGCGGCATCGGCGGGAGCATCACGGCAATAAGAAGTTCACCTGCGACCAGTGCGACAAGTCTTTCCATCGGCATTATTATCTGATTGAGCATCGACGCATCCACACAGGCGAGCGTCCGTTCCACTGCACCATCTGTGGCAAAAGCTCGACGACAAAGACCAATCACAATAAGCATCTGAAGATACATCATTCACGGGATCCATTCACCGTGGAGGTTTAAATGATATATACTAACCAACCAACTAATTGACTACTCTAAACTAAAGTTTAATTCATTAATTAGATAGCTGTTCATGGCTCTTCTCTGTGTGTATGTGTATGAGTGTGAGTGTGAGAGTGTGTGCGTGTCTTGTGTGTCTGTGTCTGTGGTTAATTACAAGAAAAACAAACTAGTATTACCTATTGAACTATATACATATATAAACATACACATAAATACATCTATATAGTTTACATATGCGAATGCCAATTCTTGATAAACAACAAAAACAAAACATGAAATCAATTTATCATAATATAATAACATTTTACTAATCGTACATTTGAATGTGGTTTAAGAAACTTAGCTAAATGTGAATGTGTTAACCCCTTTCGCTCCACTTTTCGCTTCCTAGGCAACACTTCAACTGTCAACCCACTCACACACGCACACATACACTCACCCACACCCACACAGACACTCATATACTGCACCTAAAAACAAGAGCTAGTTTTAAACACAATTATTTCAAAATGAAATCGCTTTAATTTTTGTTCGATTGTAATCATATTTACAATTAGTGAAATGACATGCCTAGTTCAGTGCAATATTCATTATTATTATCATTTATTTTTACGCCGTAGTCTTAAAACATCTCAACTTTAGTTTGATAACATTTCTTTGTAATCATTTGTAGTTACTTATCTCTATGTAGATACACACATATATATATATTTTTTAATGTCTAATGCGTTTGTAAATGGCAACACAAATCTAGTTAATTTAAGTTAGTTGCAATTGGTTTAATTATATAACGACATATATACATTTATGTATGGGTCGTTATACTTTTGAGTTTTCCAAACTTGAGCACATTCTAAGCCACAAAAACACACATGCACACACCAATACCAATACCTACACCTACACCTACATATAATATAGGACATTATACAAAATTGCAAGCGACCGGTTTAGAAATTGTTATATAATTTACGTATTTTTTAAACTGAAGAGACAAACTGTCTACCAGCGATCGAAAGTAAACGAACACAACTGTCATATTGAATGAATAAATCTAAAAGTAAATACCATCTCGATGTTTGTAGAATATATATATTTATATAAATAAACATATATAAATATATATAATACATATAAATATATATTTAATTTGTAGTAGTTGCAACTTCTCTAGGCTTATTTTTAATAATTGTTTGCGATGGTTTCGATTATGGAGCGATTAGTTAAAATTTCTAGTTTGTAAGCAAACACACACAACAACATAAGCATTATGAGAATTAATTAAATAATACATTACCTTATAATATGGAAAACAACCAACAAAACCACTTTCAAATATTTACAACTTACATACAGATTTCAACAAAAATCAATGAAAGCAAAAAATTAAAAAAAAAAAAAAAAAAATACAAAATTAAAACCATTTTGTGGAAGAAATAAATGCAATTTATGGATAAATATAAATACAAATTGAATACGCCTGCGTTGGATGGTAAGTATTGAAAAATGAAATTTCACTTCACTCCAGTAGTAAATAAGTTTATTGAAGAACGAAAAAATATTCCAAGAAATCCAGAATACATAGTGTAAGATCTTGGCATAATACGTAAAAGTACATACATATTCAGTTATGTAATTACATCAGTACTTCTAATGATAAGATTAACTTAAAAAACGAGGGAATTTGCCTCTTTGGCTACTTCAATTCACGATTTTGAAATTTTTTTTTAAATATTTGAAGACTATTTTAATAGTAACATCCGACTGTCGATTAGAGGCTTGTAGAGCAGCTCAGTTGTAGATCTATTTTCAAAAATTTCGACCTCGAGTAGTTTGTAACTTTTTTTAGTAGAATCGCTGGACGAGTCCGGCTCGGATTCTGCATAGTCGTCGCTATCGTTGTAATTGTGCGGATAGTGAACGCGTGCATACACTGTGGGGTATTTGCATAAGCACGCTTGGAGTGCTTGACGCACTGGTGGATCCGCAAATTTTCTGTTTAGCTTGATACCGTAGAGATTGACGCGGAACGAACGCTGGGGGAACATAAAGAGCTGCTTGGGCATCACCTTTAAGTCGATAAAGCGCACCATTCCGGTGTCGTGGAAGTCCATGTAGTAGACAGTCGCCTGACTGGAAGCATGAAACACTTCCTTAATAACAGCGCGATACCATTGACCGTCCAGACTGTAGCGGGCCAGGCACAAAGATTCCATCTCCACAGGATTCAGCTGTGCAGCGTCCCGGATCAAGGCGCTAGTCTCCTGGGCCAGCACAATCTCCTGCTTGGCAAACTCGGTTAGTTCTGGTGTTATCTGCAACTCTGTCGCGGACACCACTTTGTCGATGGTGCACGGAAAATGCTTAACGCCAGTCGGCAGACATTGAGACTTGAAACAACCGATGCTCTCGTGATAGGAACGCTCCGTGGATGTATCCATTGGAGAGAATTGGGCGCTTTTCATCCTTTCCTGCTAAAAGAGAAAGCCCTGAATAACCGAAGGAATCAAAAACCTTACTCAAACATACCTTATATCGCAGCTGAATGCGACGGCGCAGTTGATCCACAGCGGATATGTTCTGCGGTGGCATAAAGCTGGCCTCCTCCTGTTCGAGACTGGCCGTTTTCTCATCATTCTTATTGGAATTGACAGCGCCAATCTCATCGATGATGTAATCATCCGAGAAGGCCTCAGCTGAATTATTTTCTTCCGAATTATCCTGATCGTTCTCTGACTCCTCCAAATTGACACTCCTATCAAGCTGATCCAGCTTGGCTGCCTCTTTGCAATCGAAATCCTTTTCGCATTCAGTTTGAATCATCTCTTTGCTGTCCATCATTAACTTTTTCTTAGCGGGCGGCGGCTGAACTGTTGTATTAACCTGATCAAGTATCTGTGGTGGCTGGACGTCGCCCAACTGGATAAGCTCATCGAACACCTTGAAGCTCTTCAGTGCCTTAGCGCGTTGATGTTTCAGTTCCTCATCCGCTTGGGATGCAGTGCGTACCGCCATTTCGTTGTTTAACATCATGGTCGCTATGTCCATGTCGCCCACCTTGATTTGACATTGCGGTATGCCATTAACTCCCCGGACTTCTATAACGCGTACGCTGCTGAGTTTCATGACCACAGTCTGATGCACTGCGTCCATGGTCTTGATGGTGTACTTCTTCTGCTTGGGCTTTACGCCGTGGATGGCTATGCGCCAGCACATGGCATTTAGCTGCGGGAATGGGGCATAGGGCAGCATATCAGCTGGCGACACCTCCTCCTCGTTCCCGTAGTCCACATAGTACACCTTGTGCTCACCTTTAGCGCTCAACTGGCTCTGGACAATGCCGCGATAGAAGAGATTATCCAAGTGATAGGTTGCTACGACGGGTTGACCAACCACATAGCTGCTTGGCTTGCGCTGTTGTTCCATCAGGGGCTTGAAATGATTCGCAAGCAAATTGCGCATATGATGGATAAAGGGCTCATCGCTGGCCAGGCTCAGGTAAATCTCGCACTGATGATTCACATAGGTGGGCAGTGCAGTGAACAAACTTTTATTGCATTCACGCGGCTGCAGCCAGGCCAATGGCGCCTCATCACAACCGGTAGTGGTTGTATTTGTATTGAAATCGTTCAGCAGCTCCAACGGCGGCATGCCGTAGCTGTGCTCGAACTCCAGCTTAACCACTACTTGGGGCGCTAAGAGGAGCGAGGAGAGAATTAAAAGGCAGCTCAAGGATTAAAGAGTATTCGATACTTACATTCCGATTTTTCAATATTGTCGAAGCCTGCGAACATGTCCTGATCGCATGACTTCTTGGAGCACACGCTGCAGCTGATACTGTCGCCGCCGCTGCTGCTGCTGGATGTCGACTCCGCCTCCTCCTTAACCAGCATTTGTGGATCCCTCTTGGCATGTCCTGCCTGTAATAGCATCTCATTGATGTTCGTATACTTGGTGTGCGCTGGCGAGAACGGTCCGCTGATTTCGGTTCGTGCTCCCCACAGAACCACGTTTAGGCGGTCTCCGCTGCGTCCATAACCCGTCACATGCAGTGAGCTGTAGGTCTCTAGCTGAGTCTTGAAGAACGCTTTAGCCTGATCCGACCACTCCTTGCCATTGGGAACAAGGCCAAACAGGCGGCAGCACATGGCGCTGTTGCTGATGCGTACGAGCGCCTCATCCATCACGGCCAGACAGTTGCTGGGTACGCCCAGCACCAGTTCGCCAATGTCGCGCAGGCGCACATCGTATTTGCTGGTTGTGTTCGAATCGGTACAATCAACAATTTGGCCGCGATGCCAGAGCAGTTCCTGATCTCCCTTGGCCATCACACGCACATAGCACATGTCGCCCCGTTCCCAGTTTGCAGAGGCTGCGCAACTCTGGTACATCTCCGCTGCTGTGGCCTGCACTGTTTTCCTCAGCTCCGCAATGGCCGAGACGAAATGCGCGAGCGTTACGTAGAATTCACCTGGATGCTGCACGTGCAACATTTCGATGGGTGAGCGGTTCGTATTGTCAGTTTGCTTAGGTTGAGGAGCAGCATCCAAGGGCTCCTCTTTGACCTCGTCCATCAATTTACGCGTGTCCACACACAGTTTCGAGAGTCGTGTCTGCTGCGGCTTAATGACTTTACTGCTCACACCAGTCGACTCGCAGTGACCCTGAGACACCAGCATGGCAGCGACGTGGTAATTCCCATAATATAGCGCTACATTGGCCTCCTTGTTGTGTACGGACACCACCTCCATTTGGAGCTTGGGATTAGAGGTTAGCTGCTTAAAGGCATCAATTGCAGCTGTTGTCCAAGCATAGCCATTCGCTTGCAGCGGCTCCACATCGGCCAGGCAACACTTGATGGCCGACTCCTGGGTCCAGAATATGCGGGGTAGCATGAAAAGCTGATCCCAATAGAGTTTCTGTGTGATTCCCGAATCCACCAGACGCACTAGCACATAACCTGTAAGAGCATCAAATGATATATGTATATATATTAATGAAGTCATCAATTGGTTGATTCTCCACTCACCTTTCGGCAAAATGTGCTGAATGCTAGCGCGATGCCACTGACCCTCCGATTGCACCACACAGCCCATCTCCAGGCGACCCAAGTAGATAGGCTCCAACTGGCTGAGACTCATGTGATCCATGAAGCACTGCAGCTCGCGCTGCATCGCGCTCCGCTTTTGCTCCAGTTTGTGTGGCATCACATAGAACTCCTGCGGCTGTTCCACGTGTAGCATCTGTATCATCATCACATCGCCCACACGGGGCCCGTATTTAGGTAATCTCTGCGGCTCCAATGCCATCAACTGCTGCGACTGCGGCATCAACGGGGCGCCAACGACATTTCGCTCGCGCGCTAATCCAGTGTACAGAAATGCTTCGCGCACCGAAATGCTCGAATCGCAGTTATTGGTGATGAGATCAACCTCATAGAGTTGTGTGCCCAAGGCTCGTATGACGGTGATGTGCACAGGATTACTTAAGAGAAAATAAATTATTTGTGTAGATTTTCATAGTTAGTTAATCAATTAATAATAATAAACAGTCCGTCGATCAGTCAGATATATAATCAAACTCGATCTATAAGATCTTCATGATTCAACATATAGATACAGTAGAGTCCGGTTATAGCGACTACGCCTATAGCGTTCGTACGCTTATTCCGACGTAAACTCTCGTCCCCAGACAAACTTATAAGACTAAACTTATAGCTTCATACGGGTGTATAACGATGGCCTCTTGAGCGTCGTTATAATCGGATTCTACTGTAGCATTTAATAATTAAAAGTTATCTTAGTCAATCAGTCAGTCTTCTATCAACCCAGCTACATACTTTTGCACCACTTGTTTCAGAAAGTCAATCGCCTGTGGCTCCCACTCGGTGCCTCCGTTGCTGGGCATCAGCTGCTTCAGGCTGCAGTGGACGGCTGTGTAGGGCAACGTGGCCAAATTTTCGGGCAGCTGACGGAAGCTGGAAGAGATTTCACAATTAAATAGTTTCTATATCATGAGAGGATTGGCCAGTTACTCGCTTACTTGCTCCTATGCACCTTACGGGAAATGCCAATGTCCGGCAAGAACACATTATAGATTTCACGTGATTCCGCCTTGCGGATGACCAGAGCGCGATGCCAGCGATCCATTTCGGTTTGATTGTGGTACGTGATGTATTGCTGGCCCACCACAATCAGGCTCGGTGGCCGGCAATTGGGCGATTCAGAGAATGCCTCCAGATTCTCACGCATTTTTTGCGCCGCTTCGATACACTGTACGTAGAAATCCTCCGGGGATTGAATGGCACGAACACGCACGACTGCATCTGTGCGAAACCAGTCGCCCAGCTGACACGACACCGTTTTGGCTGAGGAATGGCTCGAGTCCGATTTGCTGATGTCCATGGCAGAGAACGTGCGCAAGAAATTTAGATGCTGGACATGGCGATCGCTGTCGCTGTCATGCACCGAACTGGAGCTGCTTTCGGATTTTTTGGGGCGACGCTTTTGCTTCTTGCCCAGTCGTGATTGGATTGAGCCTATTGAGGCCGTCGGCTGAACGCTCTGGCTTGGCCAGTTTGACTCCTGCGGCAGGCTAGTGTTCGAGATAACGCTCTGGTAACCGTATTCGTTATTAAAGCGCACCTCGATCTTAGGATTACGATATTGGCATTTCAGATAACGGCTTATCATATCCGATAGATTATTATTAGTCTCTAAGCTGTTGAAAGATAGAATCGTTAAGGAGAATATCTGATCAAAACAATTTCTCACTCACTGATAGGGATTACGATCAATGTTGGTGACTTCCACATATGTGGGTATTTTCTCCAGATGCTCATTGATGATCATAAAGATATCCCTTAGCCAAACATCCTTTGGCACCTCGCAGCGATCATCGACTCCACCGTTCAGCAACTGGCGTAGGTTCTGGACAAAGCCATAATCAGATATAGAAGATAGTTGGATATGGATGGGTACTTACCTTCAGCACTGCCTCATAGCCATTCAGCTGGCTTATGGCCCCGTCCAGCTGCTGCTGTGGCGACTGGCTGGACTCGCGCAGCATCTCAATCGCCTTCTGTTCGGCTATCTGCAGCTGACCATGTAGCAAGCGGAAACGCTGAGAGATGTTGGCCAGCGTCTCGGCCACAAAATCGTTAAGTTTCTTTTTCTTATTCTTCACCACCTATAAGAGAGAAAAAGAGAGAAAGAGTGGATGAGAGGAGCACCACCATTAAAAGACATTCTAATGATGCGAGTCTACTCTACAAAAGCCGCCTGCGCTGCAGGTGAATGGCGAGCGGCACTCGAGCGCAGCCACTTTTAATTGTGCATTGAGAAAAAAAATGCTTCTTCGCTGAATGATCATTATCAGCGCCTCGGCATTTGTCTGCCTAGATACCTTGTATCGTCTTGTATACAGCGTATGCCCATTACAAAATGTTGAAGAAAAGGTGTATTCAGGTAGTGCATATGGTATGTAGCAGTTGAAATTAGAGAAATAGTAAGGGATTTATATGTAACTCCAACTGATGAGGCTTATTTGGGATATTTTAAAAATGATTGATTAGATAATACAGCTAAGTTAATATGGATGAATTCAATTTTTTTTTTTTTTTTTTTATTTTTTTTTTTTTATTAGTTATAACAATTCAAATAAATCAGTAAACTTGACAAATAAGTACAGTCGAGTCTCGATAATTCGAAATAACAAGGGGATCACTTTTTTCGACTTACACAGAAATTCAGATTATCAAAAATGATTGAGAAAAAATTTTTTCAAAGGGCTAGAATTTTTTCCATTTATAGCGATTTTCGATTTAGAGTACAAGTTATCAAAACTCGATTGTATTTGCAAATATAAATTTTCTAAGCAATTTTGAAAATCCTATAATTATATGGTAAACATTTAATATTTTATGGGAAAATGTTTTATATTTTTATAAAACGAATCTAAACTTTTTAAGATCTTAAAAATAACAAATTTTGGTTCATCCTGACATCTTGAAAAATAATTGAGTGTTAAGATGATAATTAATTGTTTATTTAAAGCCTTAACTTTAAAACAAAAAGGATTTTTGTCATAAGAAAGGAAATATAATCTTCCTGAACTTAAGTTAATTTATGAATCTCTTTGCTCAGTTTACAAAATTACATTAATAGAGGTTTTCACATTGTGCATCTAAGCCTACATATTAACTTATAGTAAAACCTAGGGTATCTTGCGGAGCAGCACTCACCTTTGTTGCAACTGTAATAATTGTTATTGTATGTAGCTTTTGAAAGTGATTGTAAAAACCACCAAAAATAATACAAAAATGCTGCTTTGGGCTGGCTTATGACAGCTGATTTGTAGCAGATGACAGGCAAGTTCGCACCAATCGCTCGGTTCTACCATAAAAGGCAGGCGTAGATCGTAGATCATAGATCGAAGATCGAATGGATTGAGTGTCGAGGAGAGCGTTGATCGAGAGCCAAATGTAAATGAAATCCATATTGAAGCTGACGTTCGCACATCATTAAAACGAAACCATATTGATTTCATTCGATTTTCGGGGTTGGGCTTTGTTTTACATCCATTCGAACGAAGTGCTCGACTCGACACGACACGACTCGACTCGCTGCGAGTCGAGATCAAATCAATTTACTCTTGACCTTGCCCTGGCTATGTGGCCGGCGGGGGTAAGGGTGAGCCAATCGCATTGATATGCTCCATTGTTTTACGCTTCAAGCGATTTAATAGGCCAAGCCAAATGGCCATACATGCGTGCCCAGCTCAGCTCTGCTCAGTGTTTGCTGCCAATTAGTTTTAATGGCCAGCGTAGCAAATAGTTCTCAGTAATCTGCAATTTTTTTCGGTAGGCATTTCACACACTTCCTACGACAAACTCTCAGTCTGTCAGTCAATCAGTCAATCAATTAGGCATTGCTTGGGCCCAAGCTTTAAAGTTTTTGGCTGGCCAGCGAGCACGCAACAATTGAAGCCTGCAAGAATTCTTAATTATGGCCAAAAGCAGTAATTGGCATACAAACTTAGCTGCCATAGACGCATTACAAATGCTCTAACTGAAGCACCAAACAACATTGCGATTGTACTTAACATCAAAGACCACGCTCTAGCAGACAGCTCTGCTCCTAAAAATTGTTAACCTTGCTGTCAAATAATAATCATTAACTAAGTTAGGAAGAGTTTTGGAAGCTTTTATAGTTTTTAGTTGCCAATAATTTGGCCATAATTTGAAGCAACTGCGTTTAGCGCACATTAAAACAATTAGTGAGCAATTGAAGTAGTTGTAAAATATAAATCAAAAATAAAAAATCAACAAAGTAAAAAGATGATTGCGCGCAATTTCAGCGAGTGTGTGTCAGCCACTTCATTTGGCCAGTTTATCAATTACGGACGGACAATTTACTGGCGCTTTGAGCCGCCTCGTTAGCCGCCGCATTGCATTAATCATACACTGTCAAAGGGCATGTTAAATATGTTACGAATTATGTAACATGACATAGATGTATTTTGTATCGACTTGAATTATATTATTGTTAATCAATATAAACTGATGACGCAGTGATATATTAGGATTTTCTACTTCGTCGGTATTGCTCTTTTTCTAAAGTTTTAAAATTAAGATTTCAGATCAGAGATCCATGTTTTACATTCACATAGATCCAAACATTATTCAGGTGAAAGTAAAATAAATATGCTCACTGGGGCAAAGCAAAGCAGAGCTTAATTGGGTTAGGTTTGACTTGCGAAGAAGTATTAACTACAATTTCCCTTAAAAAAATATTTTAATAGGTGCTACTGATCTTACTATTATATATATACTATCTACTATATATATCTAGTATCTAGTATCTAGTATCTAGTATCTAGTATCTAGTATCTAGTATCTAGTATCTACTATATATATACAGTATCTAGTATCTAGTATCTAGTATTTAGTATCTAGTATTTAGTATCTAGTATCTAGTATCTAGTATCTAGTATCTAGTATCTAGTATCTAGTATCTAGTACCTACTATTTACTATCTACTATCTACTAGCATTTGTCCCCATTTCGAAGCATTTTTCGTAGTGTATCTAATATTCTTCATGCTACATATTAATCGTTCTACTATGGCTACTTATTTCTGGTACTGCGCGTGCCTGCGAGCTGTAATGAGAAATCAGCTTTTGCCATTTGCAATTTTTATATGTTTATATAATAGTTAATTCGTGTTTTTTTTTTACTGCTTTTGATTTTGAATGTTTTTCATGTGGGCGACTCGCTAACGCAAAATTTGTGTTTAATGCACAGCTCGACCCCAGGCCCAGACCCGAACCCTGGCTAATGTGATTATGAATTATGCGTAATGTGCGAGGCCTTGAAAGCGCCGCTGTTCCTGTCCCACAAAACTCTCGCTTTTGTAGCAAATATAAATAAACCAGGCTAATTTGGCATGCTGGTCAGCGTGGCAAGGCGGCTGGCTAAAATAAATCAGGCTAAGACACATAATAAATACAGTCCCGACTGAAAGTGGATGAAAGAGAAGAGCGCTGAGATTGAAAATATCTTTAACTAGTTCTAGATCATATACGGGTAGCTCAAGAAAGGTTTATCTAAAACAATTAACTACTGAATGATTTTCATATATATTTAATTTATTTATTTAATAATGCAATTCATTAATTTGTATAATGATGTAAGTTTTTTTATATTGAATTTAATTTATTATAAGTTTATCTAGATTAAACACATTTAAAAAATAATTAGTTTAATACAAAAGAATAATTTTTAAATGTGAATAATCTTCATAAATTTAGATTGATTTAAATACAATACCTACAAAAACAAATCTTTTTAGATCTAAAATAATCTTAATCATAAGTTTTCTTGACAAATGAACATTTAAATAAAATATTTAAGATCAAATATGAAATCTGCAATAGTTAAAGATCTCTAACTTATAGTAAAATAATAAGGCCTCTCATTATAGGAAACAAACTATAACTCTAGTCATACTGAAACAGAACAATGAAATATTATACCCTGTATCCACTGGGAGCTGGCATGCAAGGCTTCATGTTTTTATTCGCAAATTTAAGTCATTTAAGATTGCCCTTATAAGGCAATAGCCAAGTCAACAAAGTCTGTGCAACGATATATATATTGACCATATATTTGAAACTTTATGAAAGTATATGTTAGTCGCACATTCCCAACATCAACCTTTCGTTTTACTGGTTTCTTCTGGTTCTTCTGCAGGGCAAAGACATTCTGCCCAGGTTCTGTGGCGGCAGAGGCAACAGCCATAATAACAAACTTGGCTACAAGGTCAGACTGTCAGCAAGATGCAGCAGCCAAAAACAAAATGAGATAACTATATATATATGTATATATATATATATATATATATATATATATATATATATATACATAGTAGTAAAATGAAAGGAGACCTTCTAGGCAATGAAGTGTCGTTTCGTTAAGGTTTTTCTTTTTTCTTAGTTAATTCAATTCTGGCCCAAAGCCAAAATGAAAAACTTCTTAATTACTTGATGCCGAATTGGCTTTATATACATTTTCACATACATTTTTTGTATCGGCCGTCGTTAGTCTAGGCGAAGGTTGACCCTAGGGTTTCTGATCAGCTCTAGCTGTGTGTGTGTGTGTGTGTGTGACTCATCAGGCTTTGATTTAATTTGATTTGCAATTGCGTAAGGCCAAATCTAGTTAGCACAATTAAAAGTGAGCACAGCTGAGAGCTGAGACAAGATTTTTTGTTGTTGCTGCTGCTGGCTGTTGCTTTTATTATATTTTGGAGGCACGACAAACGAGTTGTTAGCCAGGCTCAAAGCTGAAAAAGCGACTCAACTTTTGACTCAAGCTCTGAGCGCAGCAGCACTGGATGTTCACGTTGCGAAAAATTCAACAAGACAATTGAAAACAGAAAATCAGTTGAAGCTGAAAACGCCAGGCGATCAGACGTTTACGCGCGACTTGAACTGCAATTGGCTAAACTGCTTCAAGACAATACAAAATTGAGGCAGGCTGAAGACAACAGCTAATAACAATAACAACAAATATCAAATTTGTGATGTGTGCTTTACTCTGTGTGTGTGTGTGTGTATATATATATATTTAGTGCAATACTAGTGTGCTATTGTTTGCTGCTACTATTGCGGCAATTGCAACTGCAAAC